TAAAGAGATCATTGTTTAAATGCAATATTTATGAATTTAATTCAATATTTTGATTTTTGATTTACTGATTTTTAAAAAAATGTATATTCAGACATTTTTATCAAAACTGTATTTATCTTTATTTTTGTCTTATATTATACAGGATATGATTTTTAGTTTTACATAAGATTTTTTGCCCACTTAAAAACATTCAGGAAGGTAAAATCGCGAGACTAAAACCGTCACTCGAGAATGTGCTTTGGAATTCAATGAAATGGTAAAAAGCGTCAGAATTGAAATTTTAATTTCTCTCGTGATGACACAGTATTCTATTTTTTTTTTATTAAAAAAATGAGATCAAATTGTTAATTTGTTTTCTATAAACTTGATAACTTTCGTTTTTAAAATTAGAACCTGAGGACCATTTGAAAGTTACACCAATTTTTTGTCACCTTAAACGAAAGTTAGTATGTCAGTCCTAGACAGTGAATAATTAAAATCACATTACATTTTCAACCATAGTAAAAAATAACAGTTTTATTTTAATGACCCTCAATTAAAGTAACCAGGTCAACGAAAATAAGAGTTTTAATGAAATTTCGGTACTTCCAATTATATAAACATATTGCACTGTCAATAACCTGATTACCATAAATTCGCTCAAATGAGAGTTTAATGTCATCAACTGTAACCGGTTTTGATGTTATAAATAAGCCGATCATCTCAGTTCGTTTGACAAATGAAAACTTTTACTGGAAATTGGGGTCACATTGAACTTGTCCACAATTGCATAATTTTTTTAACTTTTAGTTCTTTTGGCAATCGCCGCCAACTGCCAACTGTTGAGAGACGAGGAGCGCCCCACCAGATACGTTCTTCCTTACTCCGGGCTGACCGGAGGTGAAGAACCGGAAGTAGCGGAAGAAAAAAATTATTACAAACCAAACAGACGTTCTGAGAGAATTCCGGCCACTGCGTACCAATACGACGATGCCGAAGACGAGTATTACAGGCCGCAACCCCAATCGCGTCAAAAAGTCGAAAGCGACTCTTATTCCAGCAGATACCAGCCTTCGCACAAAGACTACGAAGAAATTTTGAAAAATAATCATTTAGTAAGGTTGAGGGTCGCCGCTAAGAAACAATCACAGCCTTCGCAATCGCAGCCGCAACAACCTGTCGAGCAATACTTGAAAGAAGTTAATCCGACGACGAAAACTACCTATCAGAGACCTTTGAACTATTTACGGTTCAATAGCCAGAGTGCTTTGAAGCAACAAGAACAAAATGAAGAAACCCCTTTGAAGCAACAGTCGTACCGATATCTTTTGCAACCTGAGCCGCAACAACAGTAAGTGGAACAACGTAATTGACATCCGTTTCTAAGTTATTTATACTGTCCAGATGACAGCTAATGAGGCGCGATTTAAAATTTTTGCCATATCGAGATTTATGGCTCACTTTTATTTCAATTTGCGAATCAATTTCACTTCACTTTCTTACCAAATGCATCGTTACTAATTGATGTTATTTTCAATTGAAAGTTGCATTGCGAGGTAATCGTCATGCTATTGAACTTGACATAACAATTTATTTTCATGGTGTGTATTTACTGTTGACCTTTTACATGATATTATATAAGTCGTTATATATCATGCCCTTCAAATGCAACTATTATGTAATTATTGAAGACTGTCGTGATTTAGTTTCATGATTCGTTTTATCTATTTTAGGAAATCGTATCAACCATATCAATACGAAAGTCAACAAGAATCTATTAAACCAGTACAACAGAAAACACCTCATTTCAATTTAGTCGCTTATCAAAATGCTTTAATCGCTCAACAAAAATTATTAGCAGCGGCTGAAAACAACCAAGAAGAAAACCCGTCAAAATCTTCAATTTACGTTTCCCAAAATGTAAAAAAAGCCAAGAAACAAAAAACTACGCCATCGCGTCAGTCAAACACCCAACAATACGAATATTTCCCTCAAGTTCCCCCTCAAAGAGCAACTTACACTCCTGAAGTACCCAGATATCCACAATCCTTGCCCTCACGAAATGCCTATCAAAAAAGTGAAGCTAATTTCCAAGTCGAAGATCCTCTCTTATATCCCGAACCTAAAGAATTAGAGTACCAAACTCAAGCACCTACCAGGTCTTCAAAACAAAGAACTACAAGACTACCGAGAAGAAAACCAAAATATCAAACTGAAGAAACAGAGGAGTATCAACCGGGTCCACCGTCTAAATATCAATCTGAAGATCAAAGCTTTGAATATCAACCAAGCTCGTTGAAGTATCAAGACGAACCTACGTATAGACGACCTTTGCCCAGGCCTTCTAAACCAGCAAAATATGAAGAACCATCAGAAGCAAAAGAAGATTACTTGTATCAACCTTTACCTAAATACCAACAGAATCCTTCAAGACGACCACCTGCGCCTCAATACGCCCCGGAACCGGAAGTTAGACCCAGCAGATACCTCAGTCGACAACAGTACCAAGACGAAAGCAAACAACTTCCGCAATATCAAGCTGCAGATTTAGCATACCAGCCCACCGCCGAAGTCGCTGTTAGACAAGTAGGACGCGGACCGTCTGTTTCTTACAGGCAAGAATTACAAAATTCCAGTGTTAGATTTTATAGGAATTTGGGGCACCCCACAAGTTACGTTGAATAGAGTATTAATTTTCTAGTTTTAGGGTAGTTTGTAGGTGTGGAATAACTATCAACATGTTATTGTACTTCTGATATATTTTTAAATAAATTTGTTAAATCTAAGTCGATGGGTGATTAATCCGGAGCATGTTAGCACACACATTTAACGACTCGACACAGCACTTAATTAACAACCCCCGTGACTCAACATCTTGTATTACAACCAGGTTAATTTCTAACTCATTTTAGGCAAACATATCCACAATATCATGACAGACGGCAACAAATCATCACACCGGTTCCAAAAACTCGCCACTTCAATTCAGTTGAGTACCAAAACGATTTTATCGCTGAACGTGAAGAAGACTCCTATGTTTACATCACACAAAAAATGCTACCATCTACACAATACAAATATCACACTCGACAATTTAACACTATTAAGCTAGCGCCTGTAAGAAGACACCAAGCCGAAAAGAGTGGTTACGAAGTTGAAGAAGCTTCGGAAGAAACAGTCATTGTGCCGCAGTATCAGAAAGAACAAGCTTTAGAAGACGCAACTTCGACCAAATTCCGGCCTGAAAATATCATCAAGAAGAAAGGTCTTCACTACCCGAGAAGAAAGAAACCCACTTATCTAAACGGACAAATGTTTCGTGAAGAAGTCAAAAAACCGCGTTACTACCAATTGGAAGATTTGGTAACTCAACCCTCGTCGAAGTCAACACTTCGCTACAACCCCAATCAACCCTTCTTAATTGTGGTGTATGATGATTAAGTTTTTTATTGTCTAGTGTCTTAGAAATTATCCCCACGCTCAAGTATATATCAGGGGAGTAGTATTACTGTGATGTTTCATTCACACATTTTTTGTATAAATATACTTTTTTTATTACATAATAATTGTTTCACTTATTGAAGAGAAAGGTTGTGCCCGATTTAGATACAAATTTTGCCCATGTTGAAGTAAACTGAAGGTCTTATATAACATCAAGAGCTCATAATTTCAATGAGGCTTAATTTTTATAAAAAGGTTGTAATAAAGAAACTTTGATCTAGGAAACTAGTAGTTTATTCGTTGGTAACATGAGTAGGGTAACATGAAAATGCACTTGAAAATATATAACGCTAAGAAATTTAAAACAGGCTAACTATGCTGATATACGTCTTGTATAATATAGGGTATATACTAAATTATATAATATATGCTTATAAAACTTGTGAAATTGCAGAAAACTCTAACAGTTTAACAATTTGGACCTCTGAATATATATATAATGCTTAAGGTGCACCATACACTATCACACCAGTATTTTCACTGATTTATCAAATCTAAAGCTTTACTTTCACACTCATATTTCTTATCCAGTATTTACAATAGCTATATTTACAAAGTGAATGATTTAAAAGAGAAATAAAATTTAAAAATGTATGAAGTATGGTACAATCGGTGCGAAATGCCTGAATAAGAAATATGTTTATCAATAATATACTTTATGTCAATTGTGGAAGTACTCATTGTTTAAAAATGCACTAGTTGATGTATTGTTTTTAGAAACTATGTATAACAAGTTTTACATGACCGAAGCCATGTAATTTGACATTCCACGAGAATAGTAAAATAAAAATATTGTTACATAATTTCTTTACACATAAATATGCTACAATAGAAAAACCGTTACTGAGGACTGTTTGAGGCTTATTATATAAATTAGATTAAAAAAAGATTAGAAATGGCGATTACTATTGTATGACTATTTGTGTTTAGTTAAGGGAATCCATGAATTGTGTATACACAAAGTAAATGTGCTTATCGTTGGTTTATAGATTTTTAAACAAAATACTATAATCATATAACGTACTACATCTAAAACTTCAGTCAGTCAAGTCATTAAATATAACTGGAATTAAAGCATTTAACGAAGCTTTTCTAATGGAATTTATAATTAACTAATAGCTTAATTTTGGCTGAAGTTTGATGAAAAATGAATTAACAAATTAGTGGACTTGCACTCTACCACATTTATAATTAAGCCAATTTCTTGTGAATGTGGCAGAATGAGACTAAACTAATTTTATAGCTTTTAAAAATGAATTAAAACATAATTTGAAATCTGAAAATGTCAGACCAACACATTGCGTAATTAGACCAATGGTTTCTAGGAAGTGATGGTCTCTATCTTCCGAATCAGACTTCAAAATAGATTTATTAAAAAACTACTTTATCATATCTCAAATTTACATAGAAAATGGTTCAATCGTATAAAAGTCTGAAAATAGCGTCAGTATGGTGTAAGAAAAACTTAACGTCATTCGTTGGCACATTAATGGTTGGTTGAAGTGTTTTGTAAATTTGGAATTGGCTATCTATTGGCTGAGATATGATTATAGTATTTTATGATCGATGACATGAGAAGTCGTTTGAGTATCTAACGCCTATTAGTATCAACGTGGTTGTATTATTACTAATACTGTATATAGATAAGGCTCTAAACTTTTCAATATATATTTAGTATTGTTCATCATGGTTTTATAAATTAGGTGAGTCCGCTCGAGAAAATAGGCCAGAAATGAGTAAATTTTATTCCGAAAACTAGTTCTAGCCATGATGTTCATTAATATCTACATATACCGACTAAATACTGTGTTGCATAGTTAATCCCAATAAGGAAATCAACTCTGTGCGTTTGAGGAGGCAGCAGATTGCTTTCCAACAGGAGCTAAAGCAGGACCAGGCCAAGGACATCCAGGAGGCACACTACGCGCCTGTTGAAGACCAGCCGCGGATTCTGGATGCAAAAAGTTACGTCTTTGCTCCATTTTCTCCGCCTACAAATACAAAAATTTAGCATCTACAAGCAATGCATCTAGTTATAAAATACCTGAGCTTGGATTCTAGTAGCTATAAGATCAGGTAACAGATCTAACTGCTCCTGAAGTGCTACAATCTTATCTTCCATCGTCGTCAAACGATCTTCTAAAGTGTCTTGCCTCGTGCTCATATCGGAAACTATCTCATACACGGTGTTTTGCGTCTAAAACCCCAACCTTTAACCCACTCACTCAGTCTTACCCAAAACTTACTTTCGCCATATCCGTTATGGTGTTGGCATTGTCCATTAATTTGCGTTGGTCCATTTTGACTTTACGTAACCTAAGCAAACAATACTTAACTTAATACTTAAAGACTAACAAAAAACAGAAACTTACGCGTAAATAGCGAGTAAAAATTTTCTCTGATGAGTCCGAACTCTACCAGGGTTGACCCTTTTCACTAGCCTTGTATGTTTGTAAATTAACCAAGTTTCTCGTAAAACGTTGGCAGCGGCGTTTTTTAACTAAAATTTATCCCACAATTTTTCGAAATTCCCCTAGGGGAATACTTACCCGTTTTGTTAGTTGAGTGTCCATCATAAAATTATGCACGTGTTTTTCTGCTCGAGTCAACTCCAACTTTCTTGACACCACTGCCACGAGTAAGGCCGTACACCCAGCCCCCTACAAACAAATATTTATATCTGGCAGCACTTTTTAAAATAAAAAAAAAAACAAATTAATGTCGAAAAATGATGCAGTGAACCTCAAAACCTCTGGGAAAAATAATTAAAACAACCAGAGAGGAAACATTTTGCAGCGACTTTTAGCAGCCAATAATAATTTATGCAGTTCTATTTAATTGAAGCCACAAATCGATGGAATTTGCTCATTTGTATTTTCAAATCTATTTTACCCCAAAACCTAAAAGCACATAAACAAATCGAATTTAAAAAGAGTCAAAATGTAAATAACAAACCTCAATGCCCCCTTTTTAAATAACAAAATAGAAAATTGTCTTGACTCACATTAAGTGAAAAAATAACATTAAATCAATAAATATCGCTTAGTCTTGCAAATCTTATCTCAGTGTTTTAAAGTAAAATGGGTAATTTACAAACAGATTTTAGTAAGTTCAATATTTTTTTGGGAATTGATAGCTCGAGTGCCCCTATTATCATGCAGACACGCAAATATAAAGAAAACAAACTCGTGGAAATTGGACTTGTGCCAAGATAAAGTAGTGTAAATTAATTTTATATAATTTCTTTACCTGCTTTTAACTGTGCACAAGTTTTTCTTACCTTTTATTTCTTGTAACTTGTCATCTTATCTCTCATTGTACTTTATTTAAATTTTAGGCTAATACATTATATTCTTGAAACGCTGACATTTTGAATTTGTTGCAAAGGTTAATTTTGTTGAGATTCTAATCAGCCTTTTTTTTCATAGCGATTAATGCGTGATTAATGCGGCTATAATTTCTACAGGAGAAATGATTCACTGGTTTTAAGAAATCAAAATAGTTTACAAGAATTTTATAATATAGAAGGGGAGAGTGTTGAAAATTTCATTTTTATGATGCCAATCTTATTATGCAATTATATTCACGGGCGTTCTCTGTGGTAACATAAAGGTTAAAAGACAACAGTTGGAGAACACGAGTCTTGTCAACGTTAACCAACTGATCATTTTTGCGTAACTAAAAATCCATTTTGGTGGTATTTCGCCTTGAGAGGTGCAATTATGTTGGTTGGCAGTGTCCTCAAAATTTGTTGTTTGCATAGTGGGATGCTCAGAGAAGAAAAATGAGCATTATGGCAAGGGTAAAAGGACGCTATTTGTCAGAGAGCTAATCGGACAAACTGGTAGATTTAGGACGACAATGTCCCCAAATTAGCGAAATTTTTATCAGACTGTGAATTTATTAAGGCTTACCATGATGCCCGTGCTGACCGCAATGCCCCTTCCACAGTACGTGTTAGGAACAATATCTCCGAAGCCAACGCTCAGGAAAGTGATCGCTATCAGCCACATAGCATTAAGCAGGTTTGCGTGTTCTTCATCGTGGAACCTGTAACGAATTATCCCTATGAGGAGGCATAACTAAAGGCAATAATACGGAGGTAAATGAACCTTTCACGATGCAATTGTGCATGAATTGGGACGACTGGTGATTCCCCGGCGAGGAATATCGGATTAGCGAAAAAGTTTCTCAGGGTTAAGCTCATTAAGGATACAAATGTCAACCCTTTAAAATGTTCTTTCTTCCATTAATTAATTTAGTAGACAGCCGACGGCTTTGTGCCGCTATCTATTGTAACACAGAGCATTCTGTTTACAAACACAGGCGCAACTAACTGAAACTAGAACTATCCACCAAGTCCAAAAAAATCAAAACAAAGAAATGTTTACCAAATTAAAATAAAAATGCACTGGAGATATTAAAAAAACGGTAAAAATATAGATGATCAAAAACATTTAAGAAAAAAAGTGTCTCTGTAAATTGTTGCATTAATTTTCAGTAAAAGAATTTACAAAAGTTTGTAAATAAATTGTATTTTTCTTAAAATGTTCAAACATATTTTATATAACGTATTCAAAAATATTTTCAAAAAATTTAATGAAAAACTCCTTTTTATAAATGCTTAAATTATATTCATCAGACACGCAAAACTACAACTGAACACATTTTTTTCAAACAAAACGTCTCTCCGAGCAAAACGGGAATATCGCAAAGTGTTCAAAAACAAAATCGTGGCATCAGGAGCACAGCAGTGCAAAGGCGTAAACGTCTGCGCATCATAATGACTGATCACTATCTGCGCGTTGTTTCCAGCCTTTGCTAATCATTCTTGCGCAAGGGCCCTGCTAATATCCTACAAAGTGAGTCTGAAAACAGAGTCTTAAGTACCTCTTTTCACTTCTAAGAACCTGTCACTCACTTTTTATTTTTGAACATTCTAGCATTGAAATTTTTACGATAAATTTAATTTGCTTTCTTTTTATTTTGTTTTAAACATGTTCTTTCCGATTTTTTATATTTACTTGGTTTAATACGTATTTTGGATTTAAATATTTTACGAATTTTGGTTTTTACATTGAATTTTTTGATAGTAAACCACCTTCCATTAATAATAACGCTTCAACATTTAATGATACTTTAATATGCAATCTTATTTGACTCGAAAAAATTTAAAAACAAAAATACTGTTCTTTGTGTAAATTTTGTAGAGTGGAACGAAATCAGTGTTTTTAAACTCAAAACCCAAAATTTTTGACTACTGATTTTTTGCTCAAATTTCATTGTTGATGTAAAATTTTACTTGTAGGTAGATTTTTGCCCTAGTTTTGACGATAGTTGCGCCAGACTGTATCAAAAGTCGCGAGCCTGTGGCTTTGGAATGTTGAATGTGGTTTGAGGAGTAGAGATTGTGTTTGTTGTGGAATGAAATTGAAGGGATTACAAATCTGCGATTATCTGTTAATCGGTGATGGGTGAAGGGGTCGCCGAGGATGCGGTTAAATGGTAGTAAAGTGAAGCGTGAAGTGATGAATAATGCAGAAGAGTACCTTTCGCATTGGCGCAATGTCCAACTGGCAATAATCCACAAGGAAACCATAAAAACTAAGAGCACTGTTCCGGGGCAGATGGTCATGAGAGTTTTTAAGACAAACCGCGTATTAAAATTAATTCGATTAAGAGCTCCTATGCTGCGCGACGATGCGTCCGTGAACAACTTACTATGCAGTAACATCACTCTGCAGATTAAGTAAAGCCGAAGGAACATCGGTAAAGATAAGGGCACGTCGTACGGTACACACTTTGATCCGATCCCCCCGTCTTTATTATTGGCCAATTTAGTCGTCCACACAAACCGATAGTGTCCAGGAATCGGATGCACTGCACATATGACTAGTTCCATCGTGATTTGGCAGATCCTCTGCCAAGTCATCGCGATACGCCAATCGTCCGCGCAGTTGTCTATCATAAAAAGCTGAAACAAAACTCAAATTAACACACAGAGGAAATAGAGGTCTTGAAACAACCCTTGTGGCACATGCCAACAATGTTATTCACAAAACGTGCATTCTTTTTAATAAAAAGTCTATTACATTTTTATCCTCTGTGTTCGATGTGTGGCTTCTCCGGCATATTTGCCACCCTTATGCATGTTCGCCGAACAGATTTACTCGCAGAAAGCTTTTTATTGATAAGGTACTTTATATTCGACAAACTTAGAAAAGAAGCTTAAATTTCCAACGTTATTGGAAATAACACATATCAGCAGGCATGTGGCCTGCTGCCGAGTAACTTGTCACAAACACTCAAATTTACGGTCCATTTATTCTGATACGTTAATTGTTCAAGTATTCTTAGATCTTGCTTCACTGACGCAACAAAGATTGAAATAATAGTTTTTCACATTTTTGGAAATTTACTTAACGTTTTCAAGTCACAAAATAAAATATTTCGTAAGTTTTATTGCGTCTCGTTTTAGAATGTTTGAATAAATCCTTTCACTAGATTTATTGATTTTATTTCAAAACAAAACTTTTACATTTAACGTTTTTACACTTAGATTTGGTGGGATGTTAATAATTTTGCTACTAACTTAATTTGCGGTGTAGTAGTTTCTGAGTATCCTGTTAACTACAGTGAGTTGAATTGATTCAAATAAGCTTTGACCTAAACTAATAATTATTTAAATACCTATAGAGCAAAACTTTACACTATAGCACTGTGACAAGACTTTTTGTTGGTTGGGTGTTGATACAAATGTTTTAAAAGTATTGTGTAGTTAATTAGTAGTTAGTTCAAATTATGTAAGCTCATATATAACATTTCAATACGTAAAATTTGTGTTATTGGTTGAAAATACACGGAATTGCAATTTCGCTAAATCAATACTTGTTTATACAATAAGTGTGTTAAATAATAGAGAAATTGCATTTTACATTTATCCAAGTCGATAAACATCCACGTGAAGTTACATTCATGAAACGAATTTTATCGGAGATTACAAATTTTTTAATGACTTTTAAAACAAATATAATAAAATAAATTACATAGTCAAATTAAGGGTAGAATTGTGTGGTGAGGCGACCCTTTCCTGTTATTTTCCAGTTGTGTGAGTTTAGAAACTAGCATGGCTTACCTGCACTTCTAAAGCATGATAGGCCACAATGAGGCCTAAAAGAATCACAGTCGAAACAGATATCAGAGTTTTGAGCGCAATTGAGTAAAAATCGTCCTGGAACATAAATAATCCATAATCAGTTATCGCAATAAAATTTGTGCTTACTTTGCGATAAACGCCAGCACTTGAGAGTTCATTTTCTATAACCATAACAATAATCCCAAACATCCCCATAACAAGAGCGTAATCACTAATTCTTTTCCTCTTTTCAAAAAGCGCTTTACGTCTGCCTAACCGATAGCCTACGTTGGGTTTGTGCTTGAGACTTCCAGACGAAGGCCCTTTGTACACTCCACTTCCTATAGTCCGATCTTCCATAAACCGGGGGTAGTCCACGTGACCCACAACGGCGACTCCCGGTTCCTCCTGCTGCATCCTTCCTCCAGCAGAATCTCTGCTCGAGTTTTTCACCGCTCCGGGGATAGAAAGAGTCGACACAGGTTTTCGTAGCTGCAAGCGAGTTACAACAAGTCCAAAAATAGGTTTCAATTAACACGATTTTTCTTGGGGCGTTAACACCGCCTCCACAAATCCTACAGCTCAGAGCCGGCTATTTGGTACTAAAGCCATAGAGACGGTGTTAGCGACCCAATCCAAGCAACTTCCCAAAAACAAACAGACTATTTTAACACAAAGGCTTCACCGATAAGCAAAAATTTGTCAGTGTGAGCGCGAATTCTCAACTTCTGGTTCATCTCCTTGAAGAAATACATTAAGTGACAAAGTAGTTTCATTGTTAGATATCTGATGTAGTGCTTCTAATAGAGAGAGGGTGGAGTCCATAATGTGCCATTAACTTTGTCATTTAGTGTACACTTGTGTCAATATGAAGAGCTGAGTTAGAAAAGAGTTGAAAAAGTGTGTCGAGAAAAAATAGTGGGTGTTTATCTTGTAGTCCTACGAGATTTGTTTTGGAAACGTTGTGTTAAAATAGTTGCAATATCTAAAAGCAAATTGTTGTATAAGAAGAAACTTAAGGGATTTCTATGTTTGTACCGCGAGTAAAATCTCGTCACCTCGGTTAAAAGCCACCTTAAAAAATTTATGCGTCCCTGGTGGAAAGAGCGCGTTATGTGACCGACAATTATGTTGATATTTTGGAGGGAGGTGACGAGTTCTCGTAGAAATCCCCCTCTTTGTTGGGGCACATGTACAAAATGAAATGGAATTGTAAGTTGCATAAAGCTCATTTCACTGTTTACAATAAGCGTTCTGTGTGTCTCTGCAGGAAGCTACGATATTATTATTTGAACGAATTTGGGGCTCAAAATCTATTTACAAACGGTGCGTGCTTCTGTACGCAACTCCGCTCCAGGACACAAGTATGTATCTGTAATTACGTTTCACCGAAAAAACAACTTGTAACACAATATTGTCTGTGAAGTACGAATTGTGTTACTTTCAAAGAGGTGGAGAGTAAAGAAGCACGCGTGTGAGGGGGAAAGCAGCTATCGTGAAAACGTGAGTCTCTAACCTAATGACGTGTTTCAAGTGTTCAGTATTCTATTTTAGAGATATTGTCATTTGAATTGAAAACTACCAACAAAATATTACTCAAATGCAAGAAAAAGGCTTTATTAGGTACCTAACAAATTATTATCCAAGATCGGAAATTTCAATTCTATTTACAAACCAATCAAAAGTACTTCAAAAGTTTTATAAATCGAATTGAACGACGCCATTTTTTTATTATCGCTTGGAAAATGTCAAGAAAATCACTCCTCATTATTTGCATAATTAAAATTTCCCCTCTCAACCCCGACATTACTTAATGCAGGTACTTGACAGCAGGTTGTAGTCGATTCACTTAAAACTCATCAAAAATAATTTTAAGCGTTCACGTTTACTACAACAACCTGTCTAAATTTATATCATAAATGTTTCAATTTAGCTCCCAGACATTTATAAACACTAAATTAACATACAATAATATTTAGTAAAGTTCATTTCATTGCATCAGCTCGTTTAATAATTATTTTATTTTATTATTTTGATAAAATGAAATGTAAGTATTGTTTTTCGGAAATTATCATAAAAATTGTTAGGGTGATTTATATACTAAATAGATTTTCTGATTGATTATTATTATTATGTTGCTAATAAGTTATATAAAATTCACATTTTGCTAGGTAGTTGACGTGTGGAGGAAAAAGTGACCCTTGCTGGGGTTTTGAGTAATCGTTTGAAAATTTGCTTACGCATTTTTTTTTTAAATTAAAAAACTTCATTGGTGGTTTGGTCGGGAGTGGCGGCGTGCTTGCACGAAAATTTCCAACTAAACGAATTAATTTAATTTGATGCCTAGCAGGAACCACAAGTCGCTATAATAATACATGAAATTTTCATTAAGGACTGCTTGATGGTTTCAACTTAATCAGATTTCAAAACGCGTGCACATTTGCTACTGATATGTAACAAAGAATCCTACACAAAAGAATTTTATACACATGTTAAAACAAGCCAGAAAGTGAAACGAAAATATAAACAACGCCCAAATTTGCATGAAACGTCACGAGTGATTTTTGTAATTAACATGAAAATATATTAAACAAACAAACTTTGAACTGATTCTCTCGGATCATATTTGAAAGGTTTTGATGCCATTCCGAGGAATGAGTTTGTTGAACTTCACATAATAAATTTATCTTAGGGTTGAATCGACTTCTTTGTATTTCGTCTATACTTTTCTTTTTATGTTTCGTTTTATTTGGAAGCGAACCGGTTTTTCCGGTTTTGATTGAGCTGCTGCAGTATTATGTTTGCGTTCAAAATAAACCGGTTTTTCCAGTTTCTACCCACAACTTTAATTATTACAAGACAATACAACATCTTAATCTTGATCTGATATTAATTTTTCTGTTAGCATCACAATAAATCTTTGTTTCGAGATCTTGATTAAAAACCTAAAGCAATTATATTCTGTTATAAGGAAAATAATTGGTGCAAAAATGTGTTATAGGAAGTGTGAAAAAGATAAGAGATAATCAATAAGGAACAAAGACGGATAGTTGAAAATCAGAACGTGTCTATCACATAGAATGCAGTTACATGCAAATCCGTTTAAAAAAATAGTAGCAGCATCACGGAAATCTTTAATAAAATGCCACAATCGTTCTGTTTGGACAGATTGGTTTTCTGAAAGCTCGGATTTTCCCGGTCCTAATAGAATTACAAATGTAATAAATGAGTAATCTCGTTTACTAATCATAGTAATAAAATTTTATTTCTTTGTAGTTATAAAAATTTTATTGCGTTGTAGTTAATTCTCTAATTGTCACAACAAAGTTACAAACTGTTAAGCCTTTTTCTTCATTTTTTATGACAATATCACCACAAATGGTCAAAAAAAAATTTGCATGCCTTCAATATGCTGGTGCCACTACAGAAACTTTAAAGGTTTTTGTTTCCAAAATTTGCAGACAGATAAATGAAAAAAGCAAATTTAGGAAAACATGGAACCTTAAAATATAGCTCAAATCTAGATTTGTTCACTTAACCTCAAAGTGTATCACGTCTGGTAAAAATGTGTTTGTTTAGTTCGTTTTAGATTTGAAAGAATTACAAACAGAATAAAATTTTAAAATCTTTTCCACATTTCGATCCTCATTTTATTCGACTAGAAAAACAAACAAAACACAAAAATAATGCACTCTTGCTTTCTATATTGATCCTCTCCGTGCATTTCGGTAACTATAAAAGAAAACTCGCAAACTTTCTATCTAAACAACGGACGGGTACTTTGAATTACACTGTGGAAAGTGCAATTGGTAATTGTCGAGGGTAACAAATCATGCAACTTGTAAACTTGTGAACTTCTCTAATTGCTTGGTTTACATGCAATTTTAAGGTCAAAAAATAGATAAAAGAGAAAACTTTGTGCTAAGACTTGCAAAGAAAGTTATGGTCTGATAATCAAGTAATTTACTTTATCAGGTGATAAAAGGACAAATCGGGCGCCCAATGTTCCTAAAACCTACAATAGGTTAAAAAGTAGTGGAAGGTATGCAATTAATTAGAAGTGAACATTATCGAATATTGTCCTAAACAAGCATTCTTGATTTTAAAAATGCTTTCGAATAGATTGAAAGGAAGCATTCATATTATTTTTTTGAATATTTTCTACCGTCTACCCAAAATGCAAAATCACGTGCGGTCGGATCATTTGTGAAAAGTAAATTCCCACGTTTGTGGACCCCTTTTGCAATAAAGGTTATAATGCTGGATTATATTCCGACATTTAACGTCCCGTTTTAAAACCACCAAGGGAGCTAATAATCGCATATATAAAAATTCCCATTGATTTCCCTATATAGAACCGCTTTCCGACTTTCCATCCGCTCGAATTGTAGAAAATTTTTATCTACCATCGCTCGTTCTTTTGTGACTTTTCCGCTTATTTCCCGAACAAAAAATTTGTTTAATCTTCACCCCGCCGCTTATAAATTGTTTAATTCAAACATAAATTTCCGCATACCTACGTAAAATGGATGGAAGAAATAAAAGCTAAGCGAATTCTATGCCGACACAAACGGTATTATGGATGTTTAACGCACTCCCATAAAACAAAGCACAAAATCTGCCGTTATGGACGTTTTATGGACAACTAGTGGCACGTTAGCGGTCAAAGCAGTCTTAAAACTTCCATCCGATGAGAAAACAAATTCACGCATTTACCGGATTTGCATTAATTTGTCCTTTAAATTCACATTACATTGAATGCGCGCACACGTGGTTTATTTTTGATTATTATTTTTGGGAAATTGGTCGTGTCAAGCTTTCATTTTGCAGATTTAAAACATGTTGACTTATTCAAATTTGGTGTATTCCCATTGTGCGTGTATAGTAATAATAATAATAATACTAATAATAATAATGCTGATGAAGTGATAGCGAGTGAAGTTTGAAAAGCGGCGAAGAGCGGGAAGTTGATGGGTCATGGCGCGAATATGATTTAAATGAGTGTTTACCTGCTCATTTGACACATTCCTGCGAAAAGTTCAAACTGCAGTGAGTGATATCAGTAGTTTTTCGAAACAAACACATCATTTATTAGGTAAGGCCGCGATTGATCGGATCGGAGCGTCAAATCAGTTTGAGGTTAAGTGAAAAAAGCTTAAACTTTCGAGCTTTAAAGTCAAAAGGACTCTAGTTGATGAGCCCACCGTTTTCACATAGGACACAGTATCGCTGGTTACTTCTGTAAGAGCGCGCTTGAGTCGAGTTCGGCGCGCTTGCGCCATGGTCTGAGAGGACGACAGCATCCCTGAACCCTGCGTAGGAGTCAGAGGACCACATTATGGGATTGCACGTCTCATCTTACAAAATATCACTTTCACACCTCGTTCAAACATACAAACAAGAGACCAATCGCCAGATTAGTCGATCGATAATTAAAAAATGAACGGCTCGGACAGTTCTTTTACACCTCATTCTGTTCCGAAGAGGAGGAACAAAACTCCGAAACCATGAAAACCTAAACATACTAAAATAATTCATAGATAACTCCGATGGACAGCAGGCTATAAAGATAAACCCACCCCGTTTAACATTCGCGGATTTTTTGTCATTTATACGACGAATTATTAGAGATAAGCGTACGTCATTTCAGAGACACAATAAAAGCACATTTTCATCTGACGCTGAAAAAATTTCACAAACTTTGCTACAATCAAGAAACGACTGATACTTTTAGACGGAAAGCGACGCTGCGCTGACTAAACTAACAGTCCCTTCTGTGTAACTTTCATTTAATTTTTTTTCCACTGAAATGTGCTCGACATGACCAAATTTTGATTCAAAACGTAACATATTGGGAGTAAACAAGATCAGCTATTTTTTATACGAGAACGATGTGTTGCCAAAAGCATGCCTTCGTATCAATAAAATTAAAATCCTAAACAATTTCTCTGTACTAAGAGGGTCAGCCACTTGGCATTCCATTGTATCGATTTCCCATTCCAATTCAAAAAGTTTTAACTTTGCCGAAAACTCTCAAATCCGAACTATGGACTAACTTTTTGATTAAATCAGATCGGCGACGACACAATAAAATACTTCTTATTTCAATGATTGCACATTTGTCCTTTAATTTTATAAGCACGTAAAATGTCGGAACTAATTTGGGGGTTTCTAGAACGAGAGAAACGTAACCGAAACTCACTATTTCACTGCAATTGCTTTATTTACTTTTAAATCCTCGAAGTGAATCGAAATTGATTGAGATCAGTATAGTACAAGACAACGTTTGAACCAACACCAATTGGTAAATGAAACATTTATCTTTGAAGTGAAACAATTTTTTTGAGGTTTAGGTAGATTGCACCAATTCTATTTTATTGAAATCACACGATTCGAACAAGTTGTGCTTTTTCAGACTATCGGGTTAAAGAATTCTTTTTTGTGTTTGCTATGAACCTTATCTGCTTGCGTCAACACAATTTTTAAGTTTTTCAGAAATGGTTTAGGTCAATATCGTAACAGAACCAGTTTGAATGAATGTAATCCACACATTTCGCTAATGTGTTACAAGTATTGCTTTTATCGGCAAACAATTCATTAGCGATGTTATTCGAACAAAGTGGTCAAATCATTCATCAATGTCGAAAGTTAGTAATTACAGTTAAGTAGATTTTTGTTAAAATTTATGAGCAATGAGGTGATTACAACAATTAAACTAAGTCCCGTTTGATTTAGAATCGAACTTTTTGTCGGTGTAAACAAAACCGAAGTATTTGGATTTCCGCCAGTGTGGAAGCACCACAACAATAACTTTTAATAAGATGTTTACAAAATCTGAAAGGGCGGGTCGCATACAAACAAAAACTCCACTTTTTTTAATCGATTTTAAGATTTTGTCTGAAAGAGAAGAGTCGTTGTTGTAACATCAGCCCTCTCTCGTAGTCTTGCAACTTACAACCTCTTCAATTACACCTAGTTGTTGGCAGCACTTGGAAAAATAAATTTCAAAGTCAGAGAAGCGTCTCTGGTTTGGCCTGGTTCTTCGAACAGTCCTTATTTTAATTTTGACACATAAATTTTTCTGCCTGACGGAGAATAAAAGAATGCCTGGTTCAGTGGCGTCAAAACAAGATACTTGAAAAACTCAATTTTCTGGATAAAATGAGACGCTCGGACGCTCCAACTCTCCCCATACACAAAATATTATATTTCCGTCTAGTAAAACAGGATATCGAATTCGTAATTAAATATTCGAATTTCAAAAGCATCGCAACTTCTTTGCGAAAATCTCATCTCATATTTTTGATCAGCGTCTTCAAAAGGCTTAATTCCGTCTACTTAATTGAACACAGAATTACTTGAGGAAATTTCCGTCGACAAAACGGGTGCTAATTATGCGGGTTTATATTTCTTAATTATTTTCTAAGTCACAATGCAGACACACATGATGAACACCGAACGTGACTGACAAACTTATTCAGCCACTACTTCAAGTTAAGTATTAAACACAAAATTACTTTAATTTTGTATAAGTAAACGCTAATTGCTTGACAAAATCAAATTATATTTTTTTCATACATGAAACCAAAACTTTTGTGCAACAAAGTAAAAGTAATTAGTTCAGTTCGTGTACGGTTCAAATTTTAAAATTCCAAACTCGCCCGAAGGCATTCAAATTTCTGACAGACATGTCACAACCAACATCAACAACTAAAAAATTCATCGTCCGCTAGAAAAGCGAGCGAAAGTGTTTAAATAAATTACACTCGCTGAAGAACACTTTTGAACATTTGTAATGATTGGTAAAAATTGGATGAAACTCACGCCAGGAGGAGAATTCTACCCTTCCACTTCAATTGTTATCGTGGACAAATTACCGAATGTTTCGCAAAAGTTTTATCTTAGGCGAATTTACGAACGGATTTAAGTTTGGACAGTGGCGGATTTACACTTTCGGGGGCCTGGGGCACAAGTCCACAAATTTTTGAACAGCCTCTTGGAGAACTAAATCTGCTTCTGGGAGGTGTTTCCGGCTTTTGGAGTGCCAATTTTGCCAAGGATTGGAGGAGTTGGGTAAGAAAATAATGAGAATCGTACCGTAGGAGCCTTTATTTTCTTGAAAGGGTTTGATCAGTTGTTGAAACGTTCCGCATGAGAGAGCAGTATTCACGTGTGTCGAGCTGTGACTAAAACAACACAATCGATAGTCGTCGTAATGAAAATCGATGTTGTGAATCGATTGTCTAGAAGTAGTATTAATCTCCTTTTTGTCGTGAGAGAGGGCCGATGTTGCAATAAAGTCGAGGAGGGGTAAAGATTTTCACGCTTCATACCTGGCGGAAATTCCGCATCGCACCGTTGATCCGGAGCGAGTCCGCCGCAATTCCCGCGATGCCGCCTTCGCCATGGTCCCGGAGTTGCCTTAGGGAGGTGGATGGGGCCGTACCATGTACACAACTTGCGCCACAACACGGTGCTGAGGCTTCAGGTTGTGAACTTTGCCGGATTATCCTGGAGCCAGGCAATGTCGTCACAACTGACGGCGGAGCTACTGGACATGAACTGCACGATACCTGCAAATCACCACCCAAGTGCTATCATTTTCGCTAGATTTCCACACCGAACACCAATTTCGTTATGTAGAATTGGTAAGAGACAGACACAGGAAAGAGAAGTGTGACAGCTACGAGTTCAGTTACGGGCGGACAGTGCAAGGGTTAGTGAAGAACGCTGAAACAGGACGTAAGAAAGCACGAGCCATTGGCAAACCTGGACAATACAAATGTCTACGCCAATAACCACAAAAATAGCAAAACAATTCTCACAAAGGAAAGCGTAATTCAACCTGAAATTTCCTGAATTGTATTTCTCGTCATTCAGTCTTGATTTGTTTTACTTTCTGTCCAACTGTTTTCAATTTTTTTATTTCAACTTAATAGACACAAAAAGTAACGTGTGATGATTGATAAAAATGTGCTATTTTAACTTAATAATAAACCAGACAAACGTAGATCAACATTTATTAAAACTGCATAGTTGATTGGAATTTATATTTTGAAACAATAGCAGTGATGTGTGATTTTAAAACACACTTGCCCTGTGTTTTGTGCTGTAATTTCGAATCTGGCAATATTGAAACGGTTCGTTATCGGTCATGTTATTGTCCAGTTTTCCCTCTTTCTACAGTCATTTAGATTTATTCGTGTTATTTAAATGATTATTTACATAACAAATATGTATCCAGTTCTTTTACAAGTACGAGCTACTTGTAAAAAAACTACACATTGGTTTATTTACAAACATTTAATGTTATTTATTATTTTATTAATATTATTTACAGTGCTCTCAAGTTATTTTTAAATTAAACATGCAAATGCGGTGAGTTTTGAGAATGCGGTGAATTGTGAAGCCAAAAATAACAATGTCAATACACTAATTTATTTACAAAACTACATTTAAATAAAATAAGTCCAAAGATAACAAAGATCCCATCAATTCAGATCTAGCTCAATTGCTCTACCTCGTAACATCCAATTTCCATACTTGTAATGTAAACTCACTAAGAATTCGTAATTCAAAATGGCCAATTTAAAGATAATAACATTCCATTGCGTTCTCAATTACAAGAACTAATCCACAGAACACTACATGGGGATTAGTAAAAGAGATAACGATATTTAGGAGATTTCAGCAATATTGACAGATAAAATTGAAACTTATGTCGACATATTAATATTAAATAACGAGCTAAGTTTATGTTTGTAAAAGTTTGAACAGGGCGCTGGTAATAAACGATCGCAGTTTAAGAATAAATTTCTCGGGTTTTTTTAGACCCACACGCAATAAATTCTAATCTGTACCTAAGTTATCCTCATTCACGGCCTGTTTGCAGCTTGAAATGTCTTAATTTTAAATAAAGCCAAATGAGAATGTACAGAGTCAATTTTTCAAATTCATTAATAAATATTAATTTAATTTTTTGTACAAATTACACAAAAATACGTGACAATGCAAATAGAGCATTACTAGATAAAGCAGTATTATTCGGGATCGGCAAATTTTATTACCGCGGACGGTTTCAAATGTACGTTATCAAAAAATCCTTTTTCTTTTATCCTATTTCATTTTATTTTATTTGCGAGATTACGTGCTGAGTTGCAGAGTGGTCACCAATTTCTCGAATAATATATCAAAATGATTCCAAATTTTTACTTGTACTATTATTATTTGCTGAAAAGAAAGCAAAGAACGAGAGTAGAATGTACTACTTAAAAATTAATTCTTAATTTTAATTTCATCAAAGTTTTCACTAACACCTTCAGTGAGTTTGTAGCGGTTTACCGACGGCATCTCTTTCATGTTTCCTTGAGCGTTATGAATTATTGAAAATATTTAGTGAATGTTCCCGGCGCATCCACCATTTTTCAAAAGCTCTACATTTTTACTTATTGTTCTTGCTGCATTTTTACAGCTACAATATAAATATTGAGATGCATACATGTTTTTAATTAATTTTTATTTTTGGTCATAAAATTAAAACGGTTAATTTAGTAGCGTTACCTGACGCCTCCACCATTTTGCGCTAAAACGAAAAATGTATTTACATGATTTCTGCTGGTAGGTTTGAAAGCCTTTGAATTATTTGACATATTTTTAGTAAAATTGGCCGGCGCCTGCATCATTTTTTAAAGTGAGTTTACGACATTCTTAGATGTATTTTTTTTATAAAAGTTAAAATCTTTTTACTGGAAATTAGATGTTGTGCGAAATAAAACATAACAATAGAATATACAATAACGGTAAATACGAGTATGTCGTAACTGGGAGTTGGGAACATAGCACTTGTGAGTAAAACGAAATGGGGCGTGTAATTAGAAGTTAAAATGGCATACAGGGTAATGATAAAAAATGTACTAATTTATCACTAAGGGTAAAGTTCAGTAGATTTGCCGTATCTTGATTTGAGTTCATCGAACCAAGTTCTTGTATAAGAATACGAAATGACAATAAAGTACAACGGCGCTTAGTCTGGCTAGGAATGGTGGAAAATTATAGTTGCTGTAAAATTTATAGCAGCAAATGACGTTGTTGAACATTTGACCTCTGGTAGATGAGGGTATAAATTGTGTAGGACTGCGAAACGGCGAAACCAAAGGATTAGGCAATAATTCTTTTTGGTAATTATTGTCGTTTTGATTTTATTTTTACTTACAGTCTTACCCTAGTATATTTTAGCTTTGGTGAGCGAGGCATTTGAATCAAAATATAACATAAAAGTCACTTTTTACAGCACAGTTACGAAGAAACATGTTCCGATAAGGACATTGTGCAAAACTAAACTTTTAAGGTTTCTTCCATTCTACTTGTTCTAAATCTTTTGTATCGTTGTCACGCCTACGTAAATAATTTTACTTTAACAAGATTTAGTCGAATACAATATGGTTGCTTCGGTTCGTATTCAAATAACGTACAAAACAAATTTTATCAACCCTTACACTTATTTAAATAACGCCTACGTAAAATACGAAGCGTCAAAACCGTATCAAGACGATATGAGATTATCACAAGCGAGGTATTGGAGTATAAATAAATCTGTTGAGACATATTGATGAATGTGCGGATACCCTCGGAACCCATTTCGGAAAGTGTCCCGGGTTTCAACTTTACGACGGTCTTAACAAAAAAATACCAAACATAGCCTACACATAAATAAACAAACACTGACAAATCTACCTCGATTTAATCCAATTAACGCATGTCAGCATGAGAACGATTATATTTGTAATTGGAGCTCCCCCATCGTTTAAAAATCATCCAGTAAACACGACAGAAATGCTTTACATCAGTGTTGACATTGAAAATGAGGTTTTGTACGAGCATTTCATAGGTAGATGACGACTAAGAGTAAAAAAACTAAATCAGAAACAGTAAAATAACGCCAATCTTATTACTGATATAACTTCTTTATTGAGATCCGACATACAATTCACATTACGACTCTGTAAAGTGTATGTGGACTGATAAAATTTTACAGTGTCGAATTGAACATGAGGCGTAATTATTTTCTTAAACAGAATTACTGGAAGGCTTCTTTTATGCAAATTAATTTATTTTTGTTTCCAGTTTTCATTAATTAGCGTTGCTGGGTAAATTTGCTTTTAACATTGTTTAATTCAGTTAAAATTAACGAAGTCAACTTATTATTTTTTGATCTGTGAATATTCTTGTTTATGTAAAACAATTTGCAATATAGAGTGTGTAGTATTTTGTTTTGCTCGAAACTGTAAATTAGTTAGTAGCGAGATTTGTCCCAAGTTATAGTTGAAACTCTGATTGTTTTATGAGTTAGTAACGTTGGTGATAATTTGTGAGATGAAGAAGTTTATTGACGACGCTTAGTTTCATTTAAAGAAGAGGTTTATTGCGGGACCTGGACCAAACAGGGCCATTTCCTGGTCGCAATTAGTGTGAATTTTTCGAAGAGACTGCGATTATAGCAAGAGCAAAATTCTCGCGTCAACTTAAAACAACTTTAAATAAGATTAAGGAAAGTTTATCAGACTTAGTGGAATATGGAGGTCTCTGAATAATTAAGCGAGCTCCGAGTTTGTTCGTTTGTGGGCTCGGAATTTCCGTAATGAAACCTGGCTTGTGTTATCTAGTCTGCACATGCCGTTGGGATTCGTCCTCTTTTAAATAAATTGATTTGATGATGGTTCGTCGGCATGCATGTGGCAACACATTTCTCAATTTGATTAGAGGAGATTTTAGTTGGTGACATCGAGACTCCAGCTATTAGTGCTCGGGTATTAGAATCTTCTCATACAGGACATACAAAGCAACTAACAGAGATCTGTCTTACCGGCGCATTGAGGCACGGACAAGTACAATGGTGAATGGATCGCACGCTCTCTCTTGACACAGAACGCACGATTTTCAGGGTTGACGCCGGTGTCTGAGACGTTCTTCTCTCCAATACCCCCCTCGGCGACGACGTGTAGGGAGCAAGCTGAAATGCATTTGATGAGCTCCTGTTCCTCGTCGGGATGTTCGACGACAAATTCTGCTTGCATCCTTTCACATCCAGCCTGAAACAATCGACAACCTGACATATTCAACCCTTCCAAAATCACAATTACCCTTGTCAATTAAACGCATCAATCCTTCGAATATATAGCCCGTTCAAATGATCCCAAAAGGTGATAACACTCAGCTTTCATTTGTGTCAGGAAAATAAAATTTAGATAAAATCAGATACTAAAAAATTTATTTTAAATTTCTTTTGTTGTTAATATTAGAAAAAAAATATCTGGAAAATGTGGTATATTTTTTCAACAAATCGTCCTCTTTTCTACTTTAAACCACAACCGAACAATTAAATCACTGAACGCTAATGACACCCTGTACAATCGAAATGTCATTACATCTGCATGCTGCGAAAGCTAAATTAAACCAAATTAGAATCTTACCGCAGTCCTGATTAAAATAATTAAAAAAGCAGTCTTTTGATGCGTTTCACGTTCACCCGTTTTCGTTTTATTTGCTATTTTGTATCAAGAGAATTAAAAGTTTACATACGTTACACCTGCCTCAGGATGTAAGGGATTAAAATCAGATAAAATTTGTTTAATCCCACCTAAAACCCAAGACCCGTCCAATAATTTTCACATATCTTAAAGCCATTTTGTGCAACCGAATTTTTGTTTTAATCCCGTGTTATTATAAAAATTTTAAAACCCAATTTACGATGAAACTTTTAGTGAGAGGAAATAGACATCACGTGGCGTTCTTTACGGCCCACGAGTTAATTATTTTCTTTTGCTTCTGACAAAACGTTAAGAGTTTAATCTTTCTTTTAGTCTTAGGAATGTTTCTGTTCCCTTTAATGCAGAAAAAGATATGAGATGCTCTTCGACAGCTGCCGCTTATGTAGTAATTAAATTCTAGCCGGGTGTTTTAAGAAATAATTAAAGAATTTTCACGGAATCTGATGTAAATTTTCTTTGGAACTGCTAAGATACACAACAAAAAAGATAACAGGATGTTAGAATTATATGAATTCCAGGATGCGAAGGAGTCTCTCTCGAGAGATTTTTATTAAAGTAAATGTTAAGGTTTGAAATTTTAAGCGAAGAGTAAATTAAATGACACGCTTCCAAGTTTGTCACAAACTCCGAAATCGATGAACTTGTAAACTACCTTCAAACATAGATATGGAATTAGTATTAGTTAATGCATGACATTGCCATTCATAACCGACTTCATTTGAGACATCCATAATGGACTAACTTCGCGGTGCACTGTGCGAAATTCAAGATAGATGCATTGCATTTGCAATTCCCAGTAAATAATTCAAATGTCTACTGGAAACTTGTTAATACAAAATGATTACTTTTTCCGATAATGACCATCAATAACTTTACTTTTCATCTAAAATTACAGAGTTGTTAATCGAAAAAAACAAATGAGAGGTCATTTAAACTTTTATTGCCTTAAGTCACAATATAATAAATTACACGTTTAAAAAAAATACATTACATTGGCATAACGTATTATTTCTTGTTTGAATAGGAGCAGCCACATAGAACGAAATTTTGCCGAATATTTTAATAAATTTTCCTTAGCTTTGGTCTTTCAAAACATTAAAGTCTGTAATATCTGAATGGTGGATAAAATAAACACTCGTAAATCAATTTTGTTTGCAGTTATTGAATTAGAAATCGTGAAATTTTTTGATTCCTGGAGATGTATTTGTATTTTCGTGTCGTGGATTCCGTGATCAATTATTCAAGTGATCCTGGAAGTGAATTCACGCGCGCCATGTATTTGTTTAAAATTTTTGGTCTATTTGCTCATTTTATAGATACAGACGCAAACTAATAAATTATGTAGTAGTTCCATTGGAGCTTTGTAAATTTTTAGGTTTTGAGAAGGATAAGAGTACTGTAGAGTCTTGACGGTGCTTGTTAGGACCTGGCACTTGAGAATTCAAGAAATTCGTCTTTGAATACATTTATTTTTCTTTATTTCGAATTTTTGAGATCAAGAGCAAATGTGAAAAATGAGTGGGCAATTTAATTTATGAGTGAGTAATTTAATTTTCCTGAAAGTGGTCAGTAAGTCAAGAGAACCACGCTAGTAGAAGGGCCAAAGGGATTAGGAGGCTTTTGATGCGATTCTACTATGTCCAGTCCTACTTTTCAACCTTTCCACATTCAGTAATAGGATTAAAGTCGATTATGTTTTTGTATGGAAATAACTTTTCCCCGTTCTATTGTTCGAAATGGATTTTTGTCGAAAGAGAGAGGGAAAGAAAAATCGTATCAGCTTTCACAACAAGGAAATAAGGAATTTGAATAAGCGGAAGGGCCAAGATATGTTAATATTTGAGTGAAATTTGCAGACGAGTGCACTTAATCCTAATCAGTGAACTCACCTGCAGTGAAGTTCAATGTCGGGCACCGACCTAGTGCTATTCTCCTCCAAACAAAGAGATCCATCTTCCTCGCTGTCAGAAAACACTGATAGCTGAGGATGGTGCGACGACACCAAGAATGTTGTGCATTCTTGGCGCATCAGCACCGGTTTAGAGCAGTTTGCAGGAGAAGAAGTGCTCGTCAGTGATGGTTGCGCTACCAGCAGGCCAGCAGTTTCGTCTTGGCTACTCATCTTCTTATTCGAACTTCGAGTCTGGAAAAAACGCCTTTTATTATTGCATTTACCTTAACTAAAACTCTTCTTATGACAATTCAATAACGTATAAGTTGTTAAAGCAACCCCACGGCTGTCAAAATCCTGTAACTAATTGAAGTTTTTGTAGTCTTTAACTTTCACATCGGCATTCATGATTGTTATTGCGACAGCTCACAAATTGAGCTCTTAACGATTCGACGTTTTTGAGATCAATATTAAGATGTTTATTGAGAGTTTCTAAGAGCAATTTTCACTTTCCTACAGTTCTAAACCTTGAGCTTTTACTGTACAATTAACCCAGTTTATAGAGAGGTGGAGAAAAAATTACATCCTAAAAGCTCTTCAGGAAGTCGTAAAATTTATGCTTTGATTATTACAAGCTTTAAAAACCGGTTATTGTCCAAATGTACAAAATACTTCTTCGTGACTAATAAAAACTTAAACCGGCACTTAGGAAAAAACATAAATCTTAAGCTAATAATTAAGTTTAATTGGACACGTGGCTTGTATAAATAATGAATAATGAAAACCGGTTTTGAGGAAGTGGTGCGCCCACGTGGGAATTCTAACACTGTTAAGAGTTTTCCCCAATTTTCCTTACTGGTCTATCGAGATTTTCACGCATGATTGTCTTGACCGAAACGTCTATCTGTGGATTCGGACTATTACCCTTTAATTGACTTAACAACAATTCGAGAAATCTCTTTTATGTTTTTGTGTTTAATGCACCACTCACATCACAAAAAAACACTAAATTTTGTACTCGTGTTTCTAGATGTAGTTAATTGGCGTTCAGCCGCTTCAAAAAAGTCACGAGTGAGTTTTATGGTCGGATAAGCGTTAATTAGCAATTAATACAAAATCAAAAACGTGGTTTTTAAATGTTTACTTGAAAAAAAAAGGTTAAATGCAAGTGTATATTGTTACTACTTTAGATTCCCTTGAATATAAAAGAAATAATTCAAACTTAAATTCAGTCTAGTTTAACGTTATCAAGATTGCATTATAAGGTTTCAAAGAAAAAATCTTTCAAAGTACTAATTTATTCAGTTAGAAATGCTATTTTCTCTGCATGCAACACAAATTAGGTGTCAAGTTTTGAAGGAGATATGACCGCGTTCCGGAGATTATTATTTTCTTGAACAGATGAAGAAAAGTCAATGCAAGTATTGATTTGCATGAGTTAAATTCCAAAGTTTCATTAAATATTCAAAATTGTTGCAAAACAGAAGGGTACGAGACTATTTTTACCTCGTCGCTTTAGTCAATTATTCAATATCACTTAAAGCAATATCCCACAATTATAATCAATTTTAAATGACAAGTTAATTAGAGGCGTCGTCTTGTATTTGAAAAATCTCGAAGAAAAGAAAAACGATTCATACAGAAAAATTTCATTAAGACAAGACAATGCTTTTATCAAATTGAATTCCAACTTAAGATTCGCGCTTTACTTTTATTAGATTAATTTCGATTTTTATTGAGAAAGCCCCTGAAACTTTTATCACAACTTCGAAAACTATACACGGCGCAGAAATATTGTTTTGTTCATCGGTGTGACCCACTCTCCTATCGAAATAATTATATCTCAATCCAATTTCTGGGGAACGAATATTGACTCAAATTGACGACTGCTTTCTAAGTGTTCCACTAAATCTTCGAGCGATTTTCTATGTTCCCTTAAATTTAAACAAGCGGATACGACGTTTTACTACCAATCGATACAATTGGAAAGAAAATTTATTGTGACTAAATTAAAGACTCGCCTTATATTAAACTTGAGACCCAAAATCCAATTAGGTCATCGTATTTACTCGCAAATCCAATATTTAGAACACTTTCATTTAATAAACAGCCCACAATCGATAAAGTAATAACAGCGAGATTACAAATTTCAGATTTGATATTCCAGGAAATCACACACTACCTAAACTCGACGAAAAGTCCTCTTTGGCACAACTTTGCTCCTTATAGTAAATATTACAGTACGTTAATTTTATGCAGTGCAGTGCGTTGCTAATGCATTCGTAAAACACCTCTCAGAATATTAACAAGCTAGCTCATAGTTTGTTTTAATTGAATACTTAATACTCGAAATGCATTCAAATAAATAAATAAAAAATAATAAAGATTAAACTTCAGACATCAAAGTATATGCAGTTTTTCAACCGTAAAGACAATATATTAGCCATAAAGATATCCTGGGCATTAAAAAAGTTAAGAAACTTTATTCACTTCCAATTCTCTTTTATGTTCCTTAGATAGACGACGTAACGATTTTTGTTTCTGTATGAAAATCGGCTTAAAGTTCATCTGATTCACTTTTTTCGGGAAATGTGAGTTTGGTTTCTTAAGTGATTTTACTTGAATTTGTTTCGTAGATCAAACAAAAAAAAGCAAAGTTGACTGATCAATGAAACTTTCGTTTCATCGTCAATGAGGCATTTTGTGTTTTAATTTAATAATGGTGAAAAATTGTTTACTCATCAGTGAATCAACTTTTAGTTAACAATCTGTACGAGACAGACGGCGACATAATTTTACGGTCGAAAGACTGAATCAAGGGAATCGCCAAAGATAAACACAAAGGGTAGTCCATTGTTGGCCCTTTACAATGATAAGTCCGTTGAAGCCCTATTAAGGAAGCATTAGAAAATCTGGTAACCACATATCGCTATTATACTCGCACTACAAAACTAAACACGAGTAAAAACAATTTAACACGAAACACTTTCATTAAGAGAATGCCTCGGAAAATCCACGCTATAACGGAATCCTTCCTAGCGACTCCTTATCATCACATCTCAGCGACTCACGCGCTTTCAATAGTGATAAAAAGCTATTATAAAGCACATCGTTCCAAAATGTGCAGATGTGATCATGAGGTGATAGGGGACAAATTGCCAGATTGAGCGGACCATGATCCAAACCATTCTCACGAAAGTAAATAAACCTATGTTTATTTAATAATATTCTATTTAGTTTGCGTATACTAGTAGACTACTAGTTGTTGTTTGCTTATTACAACACTATATACAGCCCTCTCGTGAAGCATTGAATCAAAAATAATAAATAGATTTTATTAACTTGCGAGCTATTCGGAATAAAAAACACATAATTATATCTCCGGTCGACTATTCGATAAATTACGTTTCCAAAAAAAGAACGCTTTGAAAAACCAATTCTTCACACTAAAAAATTATCGTTTGCAAAATGATCATTGATCAGAGTTTCAAAAAAAATTTGTTAGCAGCTGACTTCTTCCTAGCATGATCATAATTATAGTCGTGACTTAGATTATTTATTAAATTTTTGCTTAAATTTATGATGAAATAGCACTAGAAATCAATGATTTAGTTTGGTGGCTGATTTTTCGGTTAGAGCAGATTTGCTAAGATAAAAAATCATTTTAATAAGACAGCCTGCAAACCTGAGGGAAATAAATGTGGAAAGTGAAAGCCTCATGTATTTTTATGCTTAAAGAATGGCTATTATTAGCATTAAAATGTGTGATGTTTTCGTGTAATTTTGTTCGGTGCTGTAAATAATTCAAATTTTAGTAATCTCAGCTTTTAGTTAAAGCATGGAAACATTAAAACCTATATTTTGCCCCGATAAATCCGAGCATAAAAATCTGAAAATGTGTCGTTTGTCTGGAAAATGTTCGTCACCTTTTATTGCTGATTTATTTATGAGTTGAAGTGAGGAAGGAAACAATTGGATTTTTTTGCAAATCTGCTACAATTCGAAAGAGCTAGAGGCAGTAAAATGCTGCCGCATATTTTAGTTTGAAAGGTGAGAAAACAAACAGATCGCGTTTTATGGGAGGACATAGTTCCATAACTGCTTGGAAATTTCTTGTGGCATAGTTTCGATGTTTTTATATGGACCAATGTTCGAAAACGTACAACAATGCAAATGCAAATGGAGGAAAATTTGAATATGCACCATGTAACGATCGCGACCCAGAAAACTGTACAGTTTATTAACTTAAAAACAGGCATCACGCAATAGATTGCTTCATTGTAGGGTAGGACGTGTGGCTATTATAAATTCATTAATTTTTCCTATAATGTCTTTAAATGGAATGAACGAATATTTCGACACAAAAGCCGCAAATATTTTGCTAAACATTCTGTGACAGTGTAAACACGTTACGGAATTTGTAAAAAGTTTAAAGAGTTTAATCGAAATAATGAAACGATAGTTCCCTTTTGGTCAAATAAAATAGTATTGTGTGCTTTTTCTCTTTTGAGTTTTTATTAAAGAAAAGCGTTTTTCTCTTTTTTGCTACAAAACAATGTGCACTTCCATTATTTTTATGGAAGTGGAGTGTTGAAAAGTCAATCGAAACTTTCAAGAGAAAGCGCGTATTTTTGCTGTTCGCTTTATACCTATTTTTCCGATTAAGTGCATTCAGCAAATTCCACCAATATGTAACCGACTTACTCTAGCTAATTGTGTTAGACCGTAATAAAAAAGCTTAATATTTCATATAAAAGTCAATCCCAAGCAGAAACGAAAATTGCGTAAAATCCAACAAATTTTCTTGATTGCAAGTTAAATTTAATTTCGGGAAAATTACTCCTCTCCTAAATATAGATAATGGATAAAGTGAGTTGTATTTCAATTATCTATGGAAATTTAAGGGCACCGACTTCCTAATTTACAGTTTCAAAACGATAACTTTATTCAAACATTTGATCCACCTTTTGATTTTGGCACTCTGCCATTCAGCGAATGTATCGCATTCTCGGTATCACACAGATGTTGCCAACTTAACGATTCCGACATCACAAATTAATTACACGCCGAAATGACTGCTTTCTTCACAAAGCGGATATTTTCTAAGATATACATCATTTTAACAGTTCTACCCCTAAGGCGATTACTCCTTAAACACAACTCAAATATTTTCAGTTCCTTTTTCGAATCTGAGTCACTGAATGTCTTCTCAAGCTAAATGGTACGCGAAATAAATGAAATTTTTACGTCAT